TATACAGTACATACATATGTATGTATGTATGTATGTATGTATATAGATAGGTAGATAGATCATTATCTTTATTTATTCAGATTCACTAAGAGTCCTGACCACATTTGCACAGTTATACCTGAAGCTGCCCAGTACAACTACTGTCTGACCTGATGGTGAGTGAGCAACTCCATTCTGGGAACTAGTGTTGTCAAAACTATTGATTTATCAATATATATTGCTTCTTAATACTTGAACCAGTTTCAATAATCATTTTCCTCAGTATCGATACACCAGTACCAGCTGCTCTTTCTTGCTCTCCCTCATTGTTAATGTGTACTAGTCCATCTGCTGCTCTCTGTTATTAATCAAGAAAAGGGAAGTTGTCATTGTCATGTTATAGCCTTGATATATTTATCTTGTAATACAAATTTTAACTTGTATGCCCAAAATGTCAATTTTTCCCCTTGGTATTGAAAATGGTATTCAATATCGTTTTTTTTTTCCCGTATGGTTAGATATTGCGGTATTATGACAACACTACTAGGAAGTCAAGATTAGTATATTCCAGAAACAGCTTAACAGATCTGTTAAGCAGAGTCTGGTGAATGTCTTTTTGAAGACAGAGCACCCAAACCAGTCATGTCTAAAGTCTGGCCTGGAGGCCAATTGTGGCCCACAGACCTATTCTAAATGGTATATTTTGAAACGGTCTTTCAAAATATACTGTATAATTAACACAATAGTGGCTAATCAAGCAAGATCACTTTGCATTTGTTTTCATTCACCTCACGTCGGCAGGACTATCATACAGTTTGTAGACATGCATCAGAACTACATGGGCAGAACTATTGTGTTTTCACAGACGGTAAACAAGCAAACAAACGGGTTACCTAATTCCAGATATTTTCTACTGGGTAGCAGACATGGCCACAGCAAAGAAGTTTAAAGTCAAGAGGTCAAGAGGGCAGCGGCTCTCAAGTGGTGGAAAGTTGAATACTTTCTCACTTAAAGATTAAACAATTGTGCCTAAGTGTTTTTTAAGAACCCATATGATGTGAGAAGCAGCTGGCGCCCAGGTATTTTCACATGATCTAATCTGGACACCCCTGACCTAAACAGTACACAGCATGTCTCACAGTCTCCACTAACCCATTCTCAAATGGTGGTAAAGCCTGAGCAGTGCTTGTGTGGTTTTACAGTACCTGTGTGTATGTAAGCAGGTGGACTCTGACACAGATACTGTGGAGGGTAGTGGCTCCTCTTGCTGTGTTTGTGGATTCTGTAGTCCTTCTCACTGCGAGAGCGTCGGCTCCTGTGAGGCTCTGCAGAGGATGCTGGTGGCAGCAGGCGCTCTAACAGTTCAGAGCTGGGCCATGCTCGCCTGAGTGTGCGGCTGCTTGTCTTCTTCATTCTTGCCACGCTGGGTGGCAGACAGATAGTAAATCTATCCACAACACTAAGTCAAAATAGTTTTTTCCACAAGCAAACTTATGAATATTTGGGCCAAATGGTTGACCCAAGGCTGCAAGTTCCCAGTTCCTCACGTAAATTCCATTCTGGAGCTTTTGTGGTAACAATTTGACTTTAACAATCACCATGTTGTAAAATAAGGAATATTCCAGTCCCAGGTTGACCAGACTTTCTCATGGTCATGTCATCAGGAGAGCACGTTGAGCCATGAGTAAGAATGGAGGGGGGATTACTTCCAACTCTGCATACACACCTTTCCCTTCTACTGTTGCCTTCCTCCCTCCTCAGGTCACACCAAATGCACGATGGAATGACTGGTCAAGTGTGAGCCAATGCTTCTGCCATGACGTCTAAATTCATACACTCACACAAACGCACAAGAAACGCACACTTCGCAGTGACAAGCTGAGGGGTCTAAACCACTCCAGTGGCTAGCAGTTAGCCTAGCCTGATGCCTTAGCTCGGCATCAGACTCATTTGGTTTAAGCTTTCGCAGAAGCACAAGAAAAGAGGGAACGGTACTTTTTGAGTCGGTCAAAGGGGGTAGGGTAGGAAGAGCGGCAAAAAGACAAGCCTGGATCCCTGTCAGAGAGACAAAAGCCTGTACAGCCAAGGGAGGGAAGAAAGAAAGGAGGGAGTAAGGGAGGGGGCGCTAATACAAAAGAAAGCAAGGGGAAAGAGGCTGCGCAGCCAGCAGAAGGAGGAGAGAAAACGACACAATCTCCATGGGAAAAGCAGACACACTCCTCCCTTCTACTTCCATCCATCCATGATCATTCCTCCAGGACTCCATTCATACACACCAGTAGTTGATCCTCTGGGAAAAAAAACTGTGTGTGTGTGAGAGAGAGAGACAGTGTACCACAGCTGAGCAAAGGGATGATGGAGAACGTATAAAAGACAGAAATCCACAAAAAGCAACATTTAGTAAGAAGAAAGGGTTAATCCAGAGCAGAGCAAGCACTGCCTCGGCTTCTCCTTTGTCTTCTCCTTCGTCCGCTCGCCTCTCTCTTTCTGCCTACTGCTCGCCTGTCTGCGCTCACTCTGTCGCTCACCGTGTTGTTGTTGGAGAGGAGGGAGAGAGAGAGAGACAGGGAGAAGAGGAAGGAGAGGAGGGAGAGGGAGGGGGCGGGGGGGAGTGCAAGAATCGTTTCCCCCCACAAATAGACACACACATACACACATACACACACACACACACACACACACACACACACACACACACACATTCCCCCTGTTGTCAAGGCTGAGCACTGCTACCCATTCATAGAAAGCACACTTTTACAAACTGATATCCTTTAGTTGAATGCTACTTAGTGACCTGTGTGTGTATGTGTGTGTGTTCAAAGTCTAGTTTGGATAGAAGCCAAGTCCACGAGCCAGCCAATCAGCAAGCAGCACTCTGACCAATGTTGCAACACACAGCAACACAGGCAACAGACAGTGTTTGGAGTTAATAATGTGCTGTCGCTTCATGTCAACACCACTAACACACTGCCAAGTGCTGTAAACTGTCACCTCAATATCCCCAAAGAACAAGCACCCCTTCTTTAGTAATACTACCTCCATACACATACACTGTAGCAACATGCGCTCACCTAGCAAAGAACACAGACTAGGGGTGTAACGGTACACAAAAATCACGGATCGGTACATACCTCGGTACACAAGTCACGGTTCGTTTTTTTCGGTACAGTAATGAAAAAAATAGACAACTATTAAATATCTTTTACTTATTGGTAACCTTATTAAAACATACCACCACAGCAGTTAACTCTTTTTACACAATTTTTGAATGAAACAAATATATATAAAATCCTGCTTTTTCACATTGTTTGAATGAAAATAGAAATATAAATTTCTGCTTAAACAGTTTTACTCAATTAAAATAAAAAGTATAGTGCAGCTGGTCAGCTTTACAGCCTGCTCAGATTCAGTTTTCCTAGGAACTTACTTAGTTTTCCCACGTTGTTAAAGTGCAGTAAACAAAACATGCTTATATCTAAAGTGCAGCTTAAACAATTTTACTCAACTCCAATGGCGTTGGTTATTTCTTTAGCGCGATGGTCAGGGAAACGCTCTTTCTTTTTAAACGACGACGATATCGTAGTTTGCACCAGATTGCTTTTTCTAGTCGTGCCGGTTAACGTTCAAACTCGAGTGGTGTCGCTTTAGATGCGTTAGCATGTTAGATGTGTTTCCAAGTACATACCCGACCGCTGTTCTGCAGTGTCGGCACACTGCTTTTGTCTTGTCAACTTGTTTATTTCCATCTTCGTATTTTACCCTGAAAACAAAGTGTTCCCAAACGGAGGACTTAAGGTTTGCGGGTGGGTCTTCAGGTTTGTCAGGCTCACTTGCCATGTTGTCAAAATGCGAGAATGCGCTGCACAAAGTGAAAGCGGAGATTTATGGTTGGACTCGGTCCGTCACTCAATTATGTCCATCGGGGAACTAGATATTTTAAATGGTTCGGCTCACAAAAACAGAATTAAAATAAAACAAAATAAAATAAAATAATATCCTGCGCCCAATAATTCGGTACAGGGTCGTGCCGAACCGAAAGTTGTGTACCGAACGGTTCGACACAAATACATGTACCGTTACGGTCCTAACACAGACCCAATGAACACACTGATGTCATCAACACAAGTCCAGCCTGTCCATGCAGTAGGTGTCAAGGTAACACCTAGAAGAATCAATACAGTCATTGTCATAGGTGCTGTCCTCATTGTTTACTGAAGTGTACAGTAGTGACATTAACCCTATGAGCACCACAACTAATCATTATTTTTTGGGGTCCAAGCAACAACATGCGCTACTGAAGCCCTAATGGTTTTGTTCACATTCACAGTGATTCTTTCTTTTTCTTACTTTTCTCAAATAAAACTGTAAGACAAAAACTTTTGCAGGTGGGTTGTAAATTCCACCCACTACTCAGGCACAAAAAAATGTAACTCACTGAACTATGGTGGTGCAATAACAAAAACATTTTCATTTTTGCAATGATCTCAAAAAAGGCATGGCTTAGAGTCAAAACTCTCATCATTTTAATCTCTCAATTCATCTGCATCTTTGGTTCAACGGTCTTCTGCTCTTAAAATGTCAATTTTTTTTCTCTCCATTTTCTCTTAATCACACTTTCATGGCAGAATCATCTATAGACATCACTGATCTGAAGTTATCAAACAAATTTTGATAAGTCAATGTATTTTAAATTTACATGTTTTCAAACATCTGTATTTCAGTTCAATTTTACATAAATACTCATAAATCAAAAATGATTCAAGCAATTGTAACCAAACCTGGTGAACATGTGTGGACGCTTTGTCCGAGTTTTGCTAAGCAATCTTGAGATATTCTGCCACTGGGGGGTAACACAAATGCAGAAAGTTTATATCTTATAGCCAGCTTTCATTCATATGAAATTTGGTTTGCACCATCTAGGGTCATGACTTAGTCAATGAATAAAATTTGGTAATGACTCTAAATAAATTAATCTAAATTTCAAGACATTTCACATTCAAAGCTAAAGAAAAAATCAGAATAAATCACCAGTGTGTCATACAGAGCTGAATTTCTTTAGCACATCCTCAGAACTGTGATAAAAGTTTGCAGCACAGCAACCTATAGTTAATTCAGAAGTCCATCACTCTGTATTTTTAAGAACATGCAAATTCAATTAACATCTACATCTCCACAAGTTTTTATTCAAATACTACCAATATGAACACAGACATTCTTTGGATACTAGATATTACATGTTTTAAATGGTGTTCAGATCAGTTAAACGGTTAGCCCGCAGTTATATCTAATATACTGTTGTAATTTGTATTGTAATGCGCAACATTTTTTATTTCATCCCATTTTTAACCAAATGTCACTAAACTATTTGACAATACACTTGAAACCAGCAGATTGACGTGAGATTTTTTTTTCAGAATTTTATCACCAATGCTTTGTAAATGCTTTAAGACTAGAATGACAAAAAAACAAAACAAAACAAAATAAGGTTTTGCTCATGTGATATCATTGCCTTAAATCATCAGAAGGAGGTGTCTAGGCCATGTCTTTCAGGTGGAACAGTGAGTAGGTCACCTGCTCTGGTGATACAGAGGTCAAAGGTTCAAACCCCTAGATGGGCAAGCATTATGCTTTCTGAACAAATTCACTAAAGCCTTGGTAAAAAAAAGGTCAGTGTATGAGTTTTTTTAGAATCGTAACCCCAACAGTTAAATTGTTGTGAATATTTCAAGTTGTGTGACCTTCCGCTCTATGCCATCTGCTTCTGACTCCCCCCGTGTTACTTAATGGCCCAGTGGGCAGGGCTGAAAGGGTCACCAGGAGACTACCTGCACCTGGGTAGATGACGCAAGCGGTGTGCATCCTCCTGTTTTTTGCCCATCTTTTGTGAACTGTTGAGGGTTAAAAGTTGACATGTTTTATCCTGCCCTACTTTATCGATTTCCAGCGAAACAGTTCAATCTCCTGTGACAAATCTCAAATATCCAATCATCATGTCAAAACCTACTAGCATGTCTCCAGGTATTTTTGATGGTTGTAGATACACAATGATCAGGTGCTTGGTTCAGTACTTTGGTGGTAAGGTGGATGAGTTGTAATGCAAAGGGAAAGACTTCAAATCCCCCTTTGCCATTCTGCAGGTGGTCTAAATCTTTGCATTTTCCAGGATAACTTTTCACATGGTAGCAATATTTGTGCAGACATTAATAGACATGGGATGCATTTCAGTTCTTGAATGAAAATGAAAAATGGATACAAATATAGTAAAGCAAAACACATTTTCACGACCGCAACATCAAACATTTTGCTTCTTGTCAAAAACAAGCACTCAAATACTTGCAATCTGCTTGGACCCCGATAAAGCCGCTTGCAGCTTTGATCATTATTGATTTGACTGCTGATTATTTTCACATGGTTTTGTCAATAAAAATTCAGAAAATAGGAAAAAGCTCCATTACAATTTTCCTGAACTCAAGGTGACGCCCTCAATTTGCTTTGTCGCGCCTAACAAGATCAGCTGACCAACTCACACTGCAGCTAAAAAATTCCCAACCATATAGCTCCCAGCTAGAGATGTCATTTTCAGCTCATTTTACCTTCAAAATGCTGATACCCATTAAGTAGTAACTAACTAGTTAATTTTTTTATGAAAAAAAGGAGGAAAAAAAAAAACAGAACGTGAAATAAAAGAGGCCTTTCCTTTTAATCCAGTAATCCAGCGCAAATTGCTGCAATGAGCTTAAGCACCACATTTCAAAGCACAACCCATTTAAAGGTGAAATGTTCATGTTTTGTGTTGCTAATGTCTTGCATTTTTAGTTTCTGTTGGCCTTGCTGATAGACAGCTGGCCAGCTGCCTTAACAAGTGAAAACATACTCACTGCCCAAATACCATCTCCACTGGTTTCTTAGCCGCTTTGCAGTGCACACCACCCCAGGTCAGAAGGGATCTAACATTAGCTAGCTAGCTGCACTGCTCAATCAGCGGAAAGCATTCTTGAGGAAACATTGTGCCTACACTCCGGTCTCTCCCCAGGTCGCCCTGGTGGGTAAATGGCTTCCAAAATCTTTAAGCTTTGTCTACAATGCTAGCACCACTTACCATGCTGACACCATTAACCGTGCCAACAGAACTAACAGTAATAACATATTAACAATGCAAAAGGGATTTGAGCTGCTTACTGACCGGTGTGAGATAAACTGCTAACCACTGACATCCCCTCTCCCACCGACTCTATGGTCATTAGGGGCTGCACATCCTGTATGGCAGAATAATCTAATTGTGATGTTTTTAGACCAATATTGTAATTTTGATTGAATATGCAATGTTTTTTAAGTTCCTTATCTTATGTATTATCACTATACACAAACAATAAATCATTCTATAGTATGAAATAACACAAAATGAAAGAAATTGACAGGGTTTCCTCCAGGATTTTTTGAAACTGTGGGGGAGTGCTCCAGCGATGACGGAAACTGAATGTTTTTATAAATACCCTATTTAT